ACGTGTTGTTTGAAGAAAATCGGCAATTAAAGCCTGAGTCGGATTGTTGGCCACCAGACCTCCATCCGAAAGCCCATTGTAGGAATCGAAGTAATATGGAGCAGCACTGAAAAATTATACTTTCAGAATAAAGGAGAACAGTAGGTCAGTCGAGTTTACCTGGTACAACGAGCGGCTTTCCATATGAGAATTTTCTCGGGGTCCAAGTAATCTAGTTGTTTCCTCAATGATTTCGGTATTTGTGGGGAAAAAGAACGGAACAACACAAGATTGGCAGGAGATCTTCTAGTATCGGATACCGTGACCATTACTCTGAATGGAACAAAATCAGCTGGAAACCACGACAACGATTTGCTTGGTGAACGATTGATCTGAAATGGTATAAACGTAAGACTGTTCGTCATCAAAACTCATAAAATTTTCCGTGTTCAGCGCCTACACCATGCTGAAAGGCAGACGCAGATTATTCAGCTCCCATGTTTGGTGGCTTACCTCCTCCTTCTCGCAGTTACAAAGGTGTTTGGTTTGATGAACACAGGAGTGACATGATATGCCTTCACTTCCGCAAGCATACCGACCCTAGTCCAATAGATCCCCCAACCTGGATTCTACCTATTTCTTGCAAGTCAAACGATAGCGCTACGCCATAAGTTTTTTCTCAAATCCTTGAAGACACAGTTCACAATAATTGTGAAGTACCCTTTTCAAATCGAAAAGCGAAAATAAGGTATTGGAATAGTGCACCTGTGATGCGAGGAAGTTTCGAATGATAAGGCTTCCCAGAAGTGGTGGAAATAGAAAATCTGCGAGGTTATCATGAGGAAAATAACACGGAAGAGGTATTCGGACGAGATTTCATTTGTTGCATTTGCGCAGAGCTGAATATATCAACCCAAAACTTCCGAGAATTGCCTTCCATTGTCGCCATGGCTCATGACAAGTTTTTCGAAATTCCTACATGAATTATCTTGCGAGTGGTGCAACCCCACTGGTCAATCTTTGAGCCTTACGATAGCTCTACCTATGGTATACGAGAAGGCCACAGATTCATCCTAACGGGATATCTCACAATCCATTTTTATCGTGAACTGTGCCTCTGAGTCAAATTTGTATGATCCCCATAACGTGTCTTTTTTATTAATAGTCGTAACAAAAACACATTTCCAAACTTGGAATATGCTTGTCGGGTGACTTTCCAAGGAGTGCTGTTATATTTTTGCTTTGTGCATACTCTGATCTGTTGAAAATGCACTTACTTTGGTTTGTCTTTGGAAAAACTACCCATATGCCCAGTTCCAAAAAGCTTCTTAGCAGTATCTTCTATTCCCCTCGAATCATGTTTGGGTACCTTTGCCTGGATACGGAAGATTTGGATTAGTTTAAATGAATATGCTCTTTCAAAATTGGAAATGAGCTGGGATCACCTTATTCCCGCAAAAAACCCGAAATCTATTCTTGATGAAAAACCGCCTTGCGTCAATAAGCGATTCACCTGAAAAACAGTAAAAGACAGACAGTATTCGTAAACCGCCTCAACCCATCTCAATTTACTTCCATACCATGACAGAGCATCAAAGCAGTGACTCCTCCAGAACTCGTCCCTGCTATCCAATCGATTCGAGGTAGGAAATTGCCGTTCAATTCATCTTCCAAATAGAGTAGTATCTGGAACT